CCCTTGTCGCCGGCTTTGTCGAGGGCCCTCATCGCCCTGTATAAATGTCCACCCCCGGGTGCCTAAGGGGTGAAACAAATCTGCTGACAATAAGCGCGGCTCCGACCGCGATTATTGCGTTCACCCCCTTTCGCAATAAATCAGGTCTACCGGTCACTGGGCTTTGTTTTCCTGCGTCTCATGTCGAAAACAATCGCCGGTAACAGTTGCCCAGCTAATCGGGAACGAAAACCGAACATACCCCGACAAAATAACTCAACAAAAAAAAAGTTATAAATTATGCTTTTTTTAATCAATAAGCAAAGTTCAAGCATAAGAGTAGAAATAGCTCCATACAAATATTTGTCAGAGTCTTCTATTGCCTTGGTTCTTTATAAATATAAATGACCTCGATGAAGAAACAAAGAAAAGCAAAATTTTTAATTAGAATTAATACAATTCATAATGAACACAACAATTTGACATTCGTAAATGGATGTGTAACATTAATATGAAACAGAACAAATTAATAACAGTCAAAACATCAACAATCCATCAAAATCAATCCTCCATCCTTAAGAAGCTGGTACAACAAAACCATGTTTGTCCGGTTGATGATTTGACATCGGTGTATGAATATGTAATATAACAGTTTAACCAGAGAGAAAGAGCGAGGGAGAGATAGAGATAGAGATAGATAGATAGATAGATAGAGAGAGAGAGAGAAAGAGAGAGAGAGAGGGAGAGAGAGAGAGAGAGAGAAAGAGAGAGAGAAAAGATAGAAGATCTACAAATAGATAGATACACAAACAGATGGATAGATAGGGGGGTGAGACAGAGAGAAAAAAAAGATAGAAAATATATAAATAGATAAATAAATACACAAACGATTGATAGATAGGGGTGTAGGAGGGGGTGGGGGAGTGGTAGGGGAGGGGGAGAGAGAGAGAAAGTGAGGAAGAAAGAGAAAGAGGGAGAGAAAAGATAGAATTTCTGCAAATAGATAGATACACAAACATATGGATAGATAGGAGGTGAGAGAGAGAAAAAAAAGATAGAAGATCTATAAATAGATAAATAAATACCCAAACGATAGAAAGATAGGGGAGAGAGAGAGAGAGAGAGAGAGAGAGAGAGAGAGAGAGAAGATCGATAAATAAATACACAAACAAATATATAGGTTGTGAGAGAGGGAGAGAGGTATAAGAGAGAATGAGAGAAAAAATTTAGAAGATATATAAATAGATATGTAGATAGATAGAAAAACAGATGAATAGATACGGAGGGGTGGGAGAGAAAGATGGCATATTAATACATAACATTGTATGTGTAATCTGACAATTATGTAGATAAACAGAAATAGGGCCAAACAATACCTGTATAGACTGATCAATTAGGTACAAAAATCATTTGTAAAAAAGATAGATACATGGATATATGCAAAGGTAGGAAAATCTATCAGACAATGAGCTAGAGAGAAAAACTTAAGAAAGAAAGATATAAATATATAGATCCATAGATAGATAAGTAGATTGAGAGAGAAGGAAACAGAGAGAAAGAAATATAAAAAGAGAAAGAGAAAAATAAAGAGAGAGATGGAGCGAGAAAGAGTGAGAGAGATAGTGAGAAAGTGTGATAGAGAGCGACAAAGAGAGAGAGAACGGCATACAATTATATGAGATTGAACGCAATTAGAAGAAATAAGAAGCTTCATATGACGATACGACTAAAGTGATCAGCAAAATCAGGCAGACCGGAGGCAACTACATTTCTCCTGATGTCACGTTAAACTGATGGATAGCATAAGAAAATAGCGAGAATAGGCGATCCCAGAAAGAATAATTACTGTAGATACTCAAGCTTAGAAACCTCTCATCTAACGCATTTTTAACCAAAAAGTATAACTAGCTTTTCCATGCTTAAAAAATGCTAATAATTAAGCTTATTCCCTGTGAAACCATTAGGTAGTGATCTCAACATCACCATATTAGTTTCATGCCTAAAAACATTCCAACTCAGGTATTTTTATGCTAAACAAAGTATTTTACTTACGTTTTAAAATGGAAAAACTTATTTCGTCGGTGTTTTTAGGCAAAAAATTAAGTGTTTGCAGATCATATTGGGATTTGATCTTCAAAGAAGTGATTAATTAACTCTAAAGTCTTGTCCTATGATTTTCATGCTTAGAAACCTCTCATCTAACGCATTTTTAACCAAAAAGTATAACTTTCTTGTCTCGTAGCATTAAAATACAATTTTTCCATGCTTAAAAATGCTGATAATTAAGCTTGTTCCCAATGAAACGTTAACAGCTAGGGATCACCAAAAAGTACGAGCCAAACACGAAAAACAGCGAAACCGGGCGGACAGGAAGTAATGGATCAACTATGTACCAAACGTTTTATGAGTTTCAAGCTGGGCATTTTTTTAAATATATTTGATTTAAATTTTTTAGGTAAAAAACTTAATTAGAGCTAGATAGATAGGATATTTTATTTGATTTTGTTACACACCAAAAACTTCATGTGCAAGTTGCTTAAGTTCAGTAATTGTTTTTTTTCTGTTTTTCCATTCTGGATTAAATGAAAGAAAATCCGTGGGCACCATGAAAATGGTCCAAATACTTATAAAAGAGGAAGCGTCGAAAAGGAGGCCTTCTTTAAGTAATTCTCCCTTTAAAAAAGTAAATGGTTTTAGTAAAAATGTTATATTTTTTGTTCTGCCTATGTTGTATGCTACATATTTACTATCCAATTGTCACAGATAATCCCCGTAGTTTAGGCGAGACGCTCGTCTATCCATTTTCCTTTTAACTTCTATCCACTTAACAATGGTTCCTTTTTATGGAAATTCGAAATTATGCAGAAGTGTTCATTCGAATGGATACACATATTTTTGCATCGCACCCGTTATAAAATCTCACATACCCATGCGCCACATATTAGAATAAAAACGACGACGTTTCTCATCTATCCGAAAAATTTAAACCGATCAATTCCACGCTCTGGATTCCAGCGCGTGGATCATCCCACCTGCGATTATCGCTCCATTCTAATTTTCCACGTACGAAAGCGTGCTCAGATGCTAATCCAATTTCGGCTGATACTTTCTCCAAATGGGTCCTAATTGTCTTCAAAAGATGAGATGGAAGATTCAAAACCCGGATGTGCTCGGGGGTAATAATTAAGATCTAGATTATATACGTATAAAAGTCCAGATAATTAAAGAAGATAATAATCAGCCTTTATACAATAGCCAATTCATCAAGGTCATTCGGTTTTATTCTGCCTTTTTATCAAAGTACAGGTACATTTGTACCGATAAGTAATGGCTAATTGGTTAAAAATTGGCTAAAGCAAGCGTTTAAGTAGTAAATTTGGTCGAACAAAAATTAACTAACAAATTGGTAATTCAGGCAGCTTAAGTATCCTTATTTCATCAAAGATGATGATTGTCCAGGCTTTCTTTCAAATTGACAGCTGAAGTTGAAAGTAACAATATACATGTGTGGTGATTGGTGACCGTTAGTCGATAATTATTCAGAAATCGTGAGATTTCTTTAGAGTGCCAATCTCAACACGACACGCAAGAATGGCACACTTACGCATAAAACAAACACTTTGAGCCCTGAAGATGATCTCAATAAAGACCGAAACGTTCGCACGATAAAGAAAATGTTTTTCTGAAACCTACATCACACCAGACCGCATCTCACGATTTCTGAATAAGTAACAATATACAACAAAACTATCACAAAACGGTTTTTTGGATCAGTGTACCCTTTTTGCCTTTTTCTCTCCCGGTAGATCTTTTTTAAGTATTTAGAGGAGTATGTAATGAAGACTCATGAAACAGGTTAACAGGTTCGCCAATTTTCGGCTATTATTGGGTTAGTGTATGTCTGCCTTTTTCTCTCACAGTAGATCTTTTTTAAGTATTTAGAGGAGTATGTAATGAAGACTCATGAAACAGGTTAACAGGTTCGCCAATTTTCGGCTATTATTGGGTTAGTGTATGTCTGCCTTTTTCTCTCACAGTAGATCTTTTTTAAGTATTTAGAGGAGTATGTAATGAAGACTCATGAAACAGGTTATCAGGTTTGCCAATACTCGCTTTTCTTTTGACCAGTGTATGTCCGCCTTTTTCTCTCGTGGTAGTTCTTTTTGTAAAGGTATTTAGAGGAATATGTAATGAAGAATCATGAAACAGGTTAACAGGTTCGCCAATTTTCCGCTATTATTTGGGTCAGTGTATGTCTGCCTTTTTCTCTCACGGTACTCCCTTTTTTAAGAGATTTAAAGGAATATGTAATGAAGAATCATGCCAAAGTTAATAGCTTCGGCAATTCTCTCTATTCTTGCGGTCAGGTATGTACACTCTTTTCTTTCACTTCTGTCCTTTTTATTAAAAATTTAGAGGAATTGTAATATAAAAATATCGACGGACTGTCTTACAAATCGCCCAGCTTCAGTTTTATAAGTTTTATAATTCAAAATAAACATTGTTTTTATTTGGGTTGAAACCTTTTTTAAAAAAGAGATTTCATGCCGCCCAGGGGCGAACATAAGGCGACATGTGTCTGGTAAGATAAGAAACAATTAACTTCGCATCAAGTCCACCTGCCCGTAGGCCGAACGGGCTTAAATTCTGAGTACAAGAACAAAATTTAATTTTTTATTAAAACAGGACCAAATTTTGACTTCTATATGCTAGCCCCGTTTGCCGAACGCAGTTGTAAGACCATCTGACTAATTGACATGTTATACATATCCTGTTGCCATGCCAACATCTTAGTTTGCTGCTCATGTATAGAAAAATAATGTGTAATGTAACAGACCGAAAAATAAATTATGCGGTTAGAGTGAATTTAAATGTAATCAGAAAACATACAAGGTTTATGTTGAACGAAATTATCATATGATTTACACGTAAATAAATAATTCAAAATTTAGACTGTTTTTAAGGTTTCAACTTATTCTACTTAATAGAGGGCTTGATTTATTCTAAATTTAACTACTCACGAAGTTTTTGTCGTTAAGATCGCATATCCTGATCAGGCGAGCAGCACGTTTCACGAGGACACATACGATGTGACTGGCTACCTGCATACCCCACGTTCAAGTCTCTATCCCCCTCTTCGGCCGAGGACGCCGTTATCCCCTCCAAGAGGGTCTTGCGCCCTCGGGAGTCGTCGGGCTTCGCTAATTACCGCATTGTGATCAAGACAATGCAGGCCAAGGGGTTCAGGAGACCCTTTTCTCTCCCAGAGGGCTCTTTTTGAGAGAAACGTGCGAAGAAAATATGGAAATGGTGCTTTTGTAGTAATTTGAAGTTGCAAGGGTGAGAGAGAAAAAAACTCTCGCCAAACTCTTTATGTCCTAATTAACGGGCCTTAAAAAGTGTCAAGAAGTCGTACTCTATTTTTCAATGTCAGACTAAGCTTTCCCCTATCCTTTGAACAATTTTACAGTAAAAACTTATCTTATCCGCCTCTACAAAAGTAAAGCAAGGTTTTTTTTCACTAACTTTTTTATATTCTACTTTACTGATTACTGATTTATATAAGCTACAATCCTGAGAGCCTATCGCTTCTTGCAGCCCACCGGCAATTCCAGCTTTTTTAATTTACAATAAGTTACTGGCAGGCCTCGAGAATCTCCCAGCCTGGTTTGGCAGTCCGGGGTCAGAACTCGGTCTTATCCGCCCAGTTGGCAAGGTTTGACTCTAGGAGCTTCCAATAGCTAGGTAATTTCAAACTCAGCGTTATCAGTTTCTAAATTCATGCACACTCTCACCCTAATCTTTACTTACATACCATTCACTCAGAGTAATGGAGTACTTGATATTCCGCCATCACCCTTTTTTATTATACGATCAATTAACTGAGCGTCGACTGGTACGCAATATTCCGCCGTTAGCCCTCTCACACTATACACGCCAATAGGTACATTCAGTCACAACACACCTAAAGACAGGAAACTATCATTACTATGTATAATAAAACGACCGTGTTTCCTCCGAGTATCGGAAGAGGGGATCCAGACACTGCCATGCTCAAGGACAATTCCATTGCATTCCAATGAGTTCTCTACATGGAGCCAAGAATTTACACCCTTCAATTAGGTGCGATACATCGATACCTTTCTCTGCCTGCCGGGCACCTAACCCCAAAGTGTCTGTGAGTCTACCTCGCATGGCCTATTCTTAATCGGGTGAGGATGACGCTTCTACTACAAATCAGGTCTTCTAAAGGCCATGACTGTACATCCTTTAAACTTAAAAATGTTTTGGTTTCAAGTTAGCATTCTACCTATTTATTTATTTATTTGGCTATTTACCTATCAGAATTTGTACCTACATTCCTAATTTATTTATCCATTTGTGTTTTTTCGTCTTATTTCTGTTTATTTAGCAGTAGTACGTATCGTTTTACTTTTTGAATTTATCTAAGTTTATATCGAACATTTCCTGTGAATCGTTTTATCGACACCTGGGGAAAAAACCAGTTAAGAGGAAAGACTATGTATGCTACGAGACTATTGTTGAAACCAAAAATCTTGTATAGACATGTTAACAATAATTGTCACCCATGCGTCATGTAGATGAAGCAATCAAGACCAACCCTTGCGGTTCCCAAGACGTATGAAACAGAAATATGCGACCTCTCCTTGTTTTTTTTTTTGACAAGTGTCAGAGAAGTGTCAAAACGCGGACAACATCAGGGGATTACAACGGGGATTACAGCCCCCAAAATATAAAAGGGGGGTAATTAGAAATTTTGACATTTCACACGACAAAACCCCTCCCAGGACCTGCGGGCCGATTCTCCTTACCTTCTGGGGAAAAATGTATAATTACCATAATCCCTAGTGACAATAGGGAACAAGATTATAATTGGGCACGTTCCCAAGTCTGCCAAAATCCGGATTTGGATTGTTCGGCTTGTTTTTTTTCCTTTTTGAAAAGCTAGACACAAAAAATATATACCAGCACGATGGCCAAAATTACGCATTATATCTTGGAATTTTTAATATATAATTTAAGAAAAAAAAGGGTGAAGAACAAAACAAATTAACCTCTTTAATCTTTAATCAAACGAAACAACCCTCAAAAATATGAGAAATAAACAAAGTCATCGGAACAAGGCAAGGAAATTAAAAATAGTTTATCTGCCTATCTGCTTACAAAAATATTAATGGATTTTCACTAGTTCTAAAGAAGTAATTTGGTCCTCAACTTTTTATTTTGTTCTGCCAGATGCGTTTCGACATTTTGCCGTCTTCAGAGTTGGATCTGTGTAATTTCTTATCAGCCATCTAAAAATGTCAATGGATCTAAGCACAGATCTTTTGTCGTGAGAAATATCGCACCTTGGAGTACTCCAAGGGTTAATATTATTACCCACGTTTTAAAACCTATACGTTCATTGCAACCCCAATTCAACCCGTTCATGAAATCAATTTCAGAGATCATTAAAAGTCGTCCAACAATCTCACGAAAACGTAATATTCTCAGATCGTCATCTGGCGTTAGGATAGGTTTTCGGACCCATTCTGTTTAACAGAAATGATAAATGATGGAGTGAGTGTGGTGTTCAATCCTCTTTAAAAAGATAGTTCCTACTCACAGTAAGTTGTTTTGCAACGATCCGGATTTCGAGCCTTTTAGCTCATCATCAGGTTGAAGGACTTCTACAACCACGTCTCTCGACATGAATTGCCAAAGTGAACCCGCTGATACCTCCGCCAACGCGACGTTCCAATTAGCAGCTGATTTTTTTAATGGCGCTCAATTTGATCAGCCTGATGATGAGCTAAAAGGCTCGAAATCCGGATCGTTGAAAACAACTTACTGTGAGTAGGAACTATCTTTTTAAAAAGGATTCTATTTAACATATAAGTCAATCGATTAATGTTGCTTAAGGCCCAAGAATATCAATGGATCACTGCCAAAAAAAAATATATAAACGGAACATACAAGTGTATCAGAAGGGACAAATTTTATACCCATTCTGTTCAACGTATCAATTCATTAATTTTCCTTAATGTCGAATAATTTCATTGGATAATTGCGAAAAATAGACTAGTTTGTTACAGGAATATACAGGTGAATTGAATGACGTATTAAACAGAGCGAGTCAGAAAGCCTATCCTTCCGGTAAATCTGATGTATTATTGGTGAAGTGAAACAAGCTATAATAACAAGGTTTTTCGAGTTTTAATTTTTGGTGAAATTATTTAACGAATTTTAAGCACTTCCGAGATTGTTATACTCGCTGAAAAAAATGGGTATTAAAAAGGAACCATGGAATAAAAATTGATGAAATATTCCTATTATCAAAAGGTGAATCTTTCGCAAGGTTTGATGCATCGAGATTAAAGGCGGAGAAGAAGACGAAGAAGAAACTAAATTTTATTCTCGGGCTTAAGTTATATTAAACAAAATTTGAAAATTTGTCAAAATGAATGTATAAAGATTTAAATGAAACAGCAGGTACAGCTATTTCAAACCACGAGGACATGAGATCTCTTTGGGAAATGAACGGAACAAAGCAGTTCATCTTTCTCATGAGTCTGTTATCAACCTCGCTGGCGAGTTCACTGTAGACCAAACAGCCCAAATCGAAAAGAAGAAGCACAAGGGAGAGACCAAGAGTTTGCGTATGTTGATTTGGAAAAGTTGACTTGCATGACGGAATCGGTGAAGGGTGGAGAAGCAGCGGCGGGAGAATTGGGAAATGTGGGTTTCCAAAAAAGCGTTTTATCAAGGACAGATGGATAAAAGAGATCGGTTGGATATTAATGCATAGCAGAGGAATAGGACGCAAGGAATAAAGAAAGGGATGGGATTCAATCACTATATCTGGGTCTTACTGACAGAGAAAGAGAGAGAATCCAATTTCAACTTTCCAGGACCTGATGGTATTCAGCTCCTCTTACGTTCGTGAGATAAAGTTTTGAAGGTCATGTGGTGAAAAAACAGAAATAGATTTGGAAGTCACTCGTGTAGAGTATTAGGAAGATCATTAATATAACAAGAAAACAAGGAGGCAGATGTACTGCAGCATTGAGGAACATCAGAAGTGTGAAGAAATGAGCTTTTCTGTGATGAGGAATGTTTGCGAGCGGGATTTTTATACTTTAAACATAATTAATCGACTGATGTTAAACGGATGATGATAATAGAGATGGATCTGGTTTGAGCTCCCCAGGCACTGCAGCCTCGGATAAAGAAGGCTTCTTTTGCCTTCCTAGTTCCCTAGTTCAGTGCAATCGACTCAACCCTTCTTCTCATTGACTGTCATTGACTGTCGCTGCTACAATTTCATTCCTTGGGTTTTTTCGTATCATACGTTATGCCTCCATTGAGCCGCCGCTGCGCATTTGAAGATGATATGTCTGTTTCTTCCTACTCACTGCATAATCTGCAAACATCATCGTTGAATACGCCCATGTTAGGTAGATGTTTTCCCAGCTGCCACGGTTAATAGTCCTATCACTCTTCCTAGTCTGGCCCTCTCCAACCGCAGCAGTGAGTTTGCCAGTCCTGGTGAGCGTTGTTTTAGTATAAGTTTATTGCGTCTACCCCCCCCCCCCCAATGTTTATCCACTTTTCCTTTTGTTTTATTGAGATCCAATTTGTGATGGAGGATTGTGTATTTGGTTTTGTTAACCCAAGGTTCAGGCCCAAATACGGTCTTGCAGGTCCTTCTCTGACCAGTGTGTCTGCTTTTTCATTACCGAGAATTTCTTTGTGTCCTGGCAAGTTATCATCAGGTTATCTTCCCCCAGGTTATGAATCCACTCACTAATTACATATGTTAAAAGAGTTGGCCAGGAAACTGGTTCTTATAATTTTGAATGATTGTTATACAGGCTGAAGTATATGGTATATGAACTGACCTTCGATATACTCATGATAAAATATTACTGTTTTTAAACGATGTATTTTCGGCAATGATCCGTCTAGATTCAATCAAAATTAATTAATCAATAAGGCGTATATGTTAAATACAGTGCGGTCTGAAAACGGATCCTTGCGATAGACTGATGTAACAAACGTTAAGTGAAAGAAGATATTCTAGATTCTATAATAACGAAGTTTTACGGATCTTCAGTTGATTGTGTAACGAG